TTTTCCACAAATATACTCCCCGCCAAAACAGTCCTTTCAGTTCTCTCAGGTCGAGTCACAGGGGCAGCAGTCCAAGCGCAGGGGGGGCCAAACTTTCTTTTTTCTCCAGCGGGCTGTGAGAAAAGTGAGCAGCTGTTTAAGAAGCGATTGAGCACAAAAAGAAGAATCTGGAGTTGAGTTTAATGAGCTTTGGGAGAGAGTGCCATAAATACAGCCATCTCTGCAGTGCGTCCTCGGTCTGTCTGTTAATTATTTGAACTGACTCTCTTTCAGTTCTCTCAGGTCGAGTCACAGGGGCAGCAGTCCAAGCGCAGGGGGGGCCAAACTTTCTTTTTTCTCCAGCGGGCTGTGAGAAAAGTGAGCAGCTGTTTAAGAAGCGATTGAGCACAAAAAGAAGAATCTGGAGTTGAGTTTAATGAGCTTTGGGAGCGAGTGCCATAAATACAGCCATCTCTGCAGTGCGTCCTCGGTCTGTCTGTTAATTATTTGATGACTGACTCTCACCATCTCGAGCAACTACAACAACAGGACAGCAATGGAGTGACATCCCTTCATTGACTCGTGCACGCGTTCGGTTATTCAGAGTGCACCAAACATGGAGTGCCGCTAGGTGCTCCAATTGGGGAGGCAGTACTGGCTACGTTCAGGAAATATCAGGAGCAAAGTGCGCTCTCCCTCTACGAACACACCCACTCTCAGAGCTGTGCACGGGCGTCAGAAAAAAAATAAAAATTACGAAAGGGCCCTATATATAAATTCGTGCTTCCCTTGCGTCTCCCTCAATATGTAATAAACTGGTTTCCAATGGTTGCACTGCTGAGTGGTGAAGCTCGACGGCAAATCCCACAGCTATTAATTCAACGCGGCCAATGTATGTACAAATGTGTTTTTACGGCTACATTTAATTGTTTGCGGCTTTTAATCAGCACGGTTTTGGAGTCCGGAAATTACAGTATGTATTTCGGAGGAGGTCTGCGGGAAGAGAAGAGAAGAGAAGAGAAGATAAGATAATATAAGATAAGAAAACCTTTAAAAGGGGACGAGTGAGTTCGGTTCGGGAAATGGCAAAAATGAAGCTTGCCTCCCTCGACATTTTTTACATTTCTGACTTGACCTCAGTGCCCTGAGTTTCCGGATACAAGTGAGTCCCCCTTGAAGCTGTAAGTTAATGAGTGACCTGGGATCAGCTGCCAGTCTCTTAAAGAGTTCTCTCGAAGGATGGAGGACCGTCTCATCAATAAATCTGAAAACACTACAAAATTTTTTTTTTTTTTTGGTGATGTTTTCTATGTAAGATACGAAACAAGATTTAGGATCCGGTTATATTTTACAAGGTTACATTGAGGACAAGACATCAAAATGATGGATAGTTTTCAGCATAAGCACACACACTCACATAGTGATCTCTGTGAGGCGAAACCATAGAAATAGTCGCAGTGCAGAGGTTTGCTTCCACTGAGCACAAGGAGGATTTTGAAGGATCAACTGAGCTCATCCGTGTTTCCATTAACTTTTTTTTTACTCGCTTATCAACATAGTTCCCCTCCATTTTTCCTTTACGGTTCACTTCGATGGTCCTCACATGTGTCTGAGCGCCCCTTTCATCCCCTCGCTCGCAAATGTACTTTACTGTGTCGTCTAAAATGAATCATTCCTTCTACTGGTTTACTTTTTCTATTTACTTTGATCCACCCAAAAAATATCTTTTTTTTTTTTTTTTTTAATGGAATCACTTTTCAGTTGATTTTTTTTCCGCAACTAAGCAACTTCCTCAGCTAGGAAAGGGCACATGCTGAAAAACAGTCACAAAAAAAAATGTCGATGAAAATGGAAAACGCGCCTGTGTTTTCAAGTTTTCAGTCTTGGCATCTCCAAGTGTGGTCATAGCCTCGAACAAATAGAATGTTGCATCTGGGCTTCTCCAACACCGCAACTTTTTACCTGTACTTTGCAAATAAAGAAATAAAAAGGCAATGTGAGACATGTCGTCAGCTGGCGGCCATTCAAGGTTGGATACTTACTCTCTCTAAAGTCAGCTGGGAGAGGCTCCAGCTTTACCGCCATCGTAACGAGGACAAGTACTGAGGAAAATGGAAGGAGACAAAGGCTAGTCAATAAATTGTTTCGCCACCTCGAATGTGTTTTTTTTTGTTTTTTTTTTAAACGAGATACCCACAAGTAACCTGGCAAGCAATGTTTTTAGTCCTTTATAGAGGGGCGGTATTTTGGCACCGGATGAAACTTTCCAAAAGAGAACCGATCAAGGTTTTACAACATTGTGATTTAAAGCTACACACATGGCAAGGCTCTGACAACACGAAAAGTCAGTCGAGAACGAGATGGGAGTAGTTTTCAGATCTGACATGATGGCACTCTCCATTTTCTTTCATAGCCACGTTCCAATTCTTCATTGGAGTGTTGGTGACATCGCCTATTTCTCAATGGGTCCTTTCGAGTCAGTTGCAATTAAAACAGTGGATATCCATAAAAATTGCGCTAAAACGTGCTGCAAGAGTCGGAGGGAAGTGACTCGGTCATTCCAGAAGGGAAATTAAAAGGGCAAGACACCAGTGGGAGCTCAAGGAAATGTTAACAATTCCTGCAGAGAAGCGCTCGCCGGTGGCTAAGCCACCGAAGCTGACCTTTGGGGCACTTGAGAGGATCCGAAAGTCCCAGATGGCGACTGCACTCTAAGATTCGGCACACGTTCATTTTGAAAGTCGGAAAAGTCCATCTGGCGACAAATATTCTGCTTTGAATTTCAATCCGATTTCCTCTTAAAGGAAAGCGTGGCTGACGTGTATTGATTAAAAGCTCTCTAAGACCCGTTGGAGCTGCATCAGGCTTTCGAGCGACAGGGGAGGTTTAGTGAATTCTAATTTGTTCGCCTTTCATCGAGACGTCAAAGCAACAGATTGCAAATCACGCAAATCCTACTTTTCATTTGATGTCTGTACCTTTGCTCTCAATCGAACCGATCTATTTGTCCTGCTACTGAAACTCGAATGAATTTTGTGTTGCTAATTGGTCACTTTCAGCCCTTGAGCGATTTGCTAGGACCTTCTTTCAAATGCTGGCGATAGTCCGGGTAATTTTAATTCAGCCTACAAAGTATTTGACATCTCCTAAAATTTTTTCGACCGGGTAATTTTAATTCAGCCTACAAAGTATTTGACGTCTCTTAAACAATAAATTCTTGCTGTGTCTGCATGGGTTTTCTGTGGGTACTCCGGCTTCCTCCCACTTTCCACAAAGGGTATTGTGGTTTGTTCAACAGTGTGCTAGTTTGTTTACGTGGCTAAGTCAAAAAGTATGCGCCATTTACGCTCCAGCCCGCACTTGTGCTTTAAGTTTGATGCAATTTTCCATTAACGCGGGAATTTACACGTCAGATGATCATTGTCAAGTGACATATTTGTTTGATCGATTATTACACATGCTCGTTTCAGTCAATAAAAATGGCCGCTCCATGAGCAGAATGCACCAGTAAAGATCTGCAAGCAGACATTAGATTTTTATGGCCAGGAGGTGAAAAATTTAAAGTTGCCGGACTGAGCTTGTTCATTTTATTTTGTTAGTGGTCGACGTTGCTGTGTCATTAGCGTGACCTTTTTTTTTTTCTATGCAGTGGGAATGCAAAACTGAAATGAGCCACAGGACTTTAGTAACACAAACAAGTAATTTGGATGTTTTTTTTTTGTGCACTTATTACTGGAATGTCGTCTCGTTTCTCATACTTTTCATTTCTGACTAATCTCTCATGCTGCAAGGAGCCGACATGTTTTTCTTTTGTCCCTTATGGAATAACTCAGACAGGGATCCTAATCATCTTTCTTGACAGTTCCCACCATGAGTTGCATTTTGGACTTAACAGGAATCATCCTCGGGAGCGCAACGGAACATAATTTTCCTGAAGAGAACAGCGGTTTGGTTTTTTTGTTTGTTTGTTTGGGGGATTTTTTTTTTTTTTTAAGCAAAAGAGCATTTCTCCTGCAGCAATGTTGAGAAATTGCTGTCAAAACAGGAGGCCAATTATGAACATATCAATTTTCCTCTTATGGACGATGGCGTCTCTGTTGAGAAATTGCTGTCAAAACAGGAGGCCAATTACGAACATACCGTAAATGGCAGCAATTTTCCTCTTATGGACGATGGCGTCTGATTGTCTAGGTGCTGTGTACTCTTCATTCAAATGTCATGTCACTCACCGATGCAGCATTGGGTTGCTTCAAAAACGCGACAAAAGTCAGGACAGGTTTCGCATCCTTCTTTGTCTTCTGAAACAACATTAATACAAAATAAATCACCCTGCTACACCATTTTACATCAAAACTTTTGAATGATGATTGATAAATGTGCAGAGGGAAGATGACTTTGAGACCGGGATGCTGCCTCTGCATCACCACGAGTTCAAGTTCCGGATCTGTGGTTATCATCATCCTTTCCCTCTTCTACGGTGGCATTACATAGTAGCATTTTTTTAAGCTAAACTCGTGGAGAAAATCCTCCCAAAGATAATGCCCGGTTTAAAGTATCAGGATCTATACAAAAGTCTCATATGATGACAAATGAGTACCTTATTGTGAGACTTATTTACTAAGGGGGTGAGTGTTTCCGAGGCTTTTGAGGATTCACTGTACCCGTCTGATTTCTCAAGGACCACTCTGACAAATGGTGAGAGCGTGGGTTGGCGATTTTAAAGAGCCGCGGGCTGTCGCGCAAAAGGATTACGGATCAAAGTGATGAGTGAAATGAGATCACGGCAACCAGTTGGCAAAGACAGCAAACCGTTTTCGACGGCCCAAATTGCTCATTTGGTTTCGACTTGATTTCTTGAATTTCAAGAGAGGCAACATGTTTGAAATGCCACCGAAAGTTTCAGTTCACTTTGAGAAGCAACAGCTTGTTCGGTTTGCGCGTCATGCTACATGCGGTGCGTTAATTAGCCGATAAACGCTGTGGCCAACAAAGTGCATCCCAATGTCTCGCCTGTCTGTTGTCGCCGATGTTTCAAATCGAGGCTTGTCAACTTCTCCGCTGTCCCTCGCAGCTGCAGTTCCATCTGCAGCTATTTTGCAGCACAGCTGGAGATCCCAAAACGGCCGGCAAAGCATTTGGGTTTTTTTGTTTGTTTGTTTCGAAGTCTGCCAAAGTAGTGAAGGATCAAAGCAATTAAGACTTTGAAAAGCACTTTCGCCCAGACGGACACAAACAAGTGACCAACAGTTGATGTTTTCCAATTAGACTGATCACAGTACGCAAAGTTACAAATAATATCATGTCCCCGCCCGCTCCAAAAAAAGAAAAAACAGCTCCAAGACGGCGTACTATTGAGCACATCGGCTTCATCGTTGTCACGGTTTTGCGTGGTTGAGGATCCGAGTTCCCAAAGTATTTTCCCAAAACCCCAAAAAGGAAAACAAGGAGCGTAGAAATACCGAGAACACTAAATTGACAGCAGGCCAAAAAGCAGGATTCAAAGTAACAAAAACCAAGAGGAGGACATGACTTGAAGTAACTAATGACTCTACAAAGTAAGACGTATCATGATAAAAATGTTTGCTTTCTTCTCCCGTCACACTCTCACACAATCATTTTTGAAACGACTTTTTGATACTTTGGTATAACCGTGGCACATTGTGAGCGGGTGTTTTTTTACGACAGTATTTGAATTTATAGTTTGCTTTAAACGTACAAATATTGGAACATTCCAATGACGATTTGAGTGCTGCGTGTTTCGCCGTAATGACCGGTTTATGATGCTGTTGGCTTTTCTTTCTTAGCACTTCACTGTTGGAAAATCAGCACTTTTGGAAGGATTTTACGTACCGTCATAAACCGAGAGGAGAAGCGAAACATACATTTTGCCTTTTTTTTTCCGAGCCAGCCAGTACGTAAGGCTGGCTCTCTTGAATGATACAGAACCACCCTGTCAAAGGGCAGCAAAATAAAATCTTTAATGGATTATAGAATTCTATTAATATACCCGGGAGATTGCTTTAATTAGCAAAATAAAAAAGGCTTCATATCCAGTATATCCTTCAAACCTTGGTAGAACTGCACTACTATGTATGATTATTATCCGTTTAAAAACAAAATAAAAATCGGCTTTGGAAGGAGATCTCACTGGATTGTGAAGTTATAGCGAGAATGTTGCGAGTGTATATGCGCCGTGCAACTCCGCCAGCTGCAGAGAATCATTTGTAAGCATTATCAGCTTTCTCTTCATATTTTGCTTCAGTGAATCATGTCCTCTTGATGATTAAAGGAGGGAGATCGGAGGCACCTTGCCTTCTGGATAATTCCACCATCTCACTGTGTTGTTGCTACAGGCTGCCTATTTGAAATTCACTACAGCAGGTTGGAACCTTGTCAGACTTCATACACAAGCAAGTTCGGAATGAAAAAAAAAAATAGGATTAACATTTGCCGAAAAGTGGACACCAAAGTAAGCTTGAAAACAAACCAATATCGCTCAGCGATTTAAACTACGCTTTTTAGATGCAGTGAATTGAATTCTAATTGGCTGTAGGTGTGGATATGAGCGTGAACAGTTTGTCAATGTGCTTGAGGCCTTACTATGGCAAAAGCTGTCTAACTGCAATAAATTGAACAACCTATCACTTTTTTTTTTTTTTAATCCTCTTCTCCACAATTGCTGAAAAAATAAAACACGCAGCTCAGCTTTCTGTCGGGCGCCATCTTCACCATTATGGGCTTTCATGTAATCTTCCCTTCTGAAATTGAGTATTGCGATGAGCCATCTGATGATGCCTAGATTCAATGAAAAGTTTGCTCTAGAAATTATAAAACAGTTATTTAGACTTCCTCCTTGCTCAGCTATAGTATATTGCTAAATGAAGGCCACGTGTCCTCCCTTTTAACGAGTTATTCCTTCATTTCTTAATTTTGTTGTAAAAAATCTTCCTCCCCCTGGATAAGCGGCAGAAAATGGATGATGGATGGATGGATGGAAACCTTCCACCTTTCAAAGTCAACTTTCGTAAGTGTCTTCGCAGTGCATTTCAACGGCTGCGACACTTGACATCCAACTAATTATAGTCTCTCTGTCTCTTGGCACTGACTTGTCAAGGAGCTTCTCAGCTGTTGGACTGAATAATAAATCTTTCCTAGCATAGAGGCATACAATTTAACAACTGATGTGACAAGCTCTCTCCGTACCTACCTACCTACCTAGCTAGCTAGCTAGCTTGCTAGCTAATTCGCTTACCATCAAACCTTGCCCAATGAAATTTGCAGCTCCAGTATCTAAAAACCAAGCATGATGTCATTGTCTATGTCGCTTATTCTGATTCCGGGGTTTGGGGAGCTGAAGCCTATCCCAGTTGGGCGTACGCAAAGATAGAGAACCTTTTACACTCACTCAGAGGTGATTAAATCCAAAATTCTAGCACGGACATCAAGTGAAAACACACCGACTCACTTAAAACCACAGTAGATTTTGCCAACATCTAAAAACAAAAAAATGAATGTCACAATGTCATGTTTATGTTCCACCAAAATTAAACGGCTGGTGAAAAGAATGCACTCTGCAATGTCACATATTAACGCAGTTGTCCCCCAGTTAGACGAGTGTGGAAAATGCTGAACAAATTATAATTGATGATATACTTGACTTGCTGCTGGTGTACTATTAAATTTTATATACTAATCTCCATGTCATAAAAAGCACTTAACACAATGTTCCTCAGCTATATTTACTGTGCGCAATCACTTAGGCAACATTTTAATAAGCCGTAATGGTGCCGGGACAGCTCAATTTAGAGGACATCTGTAATAGATTCAAAGTAGGAGGGTTATTGTCATCTCAATAAAAAAAATGGAAATGCTATCGGTAAAAAATTATGGTCTCTATTTAAGAACATGGTAGTAGAAGTAGAGGTAGTATGTTCAAGTATATTTGCATCCTCATTCGGCATTGTTAAGGTTTCAAAGTCATACAATGGCAAATGTCTGATCCCCGGGAAGAGATTCATTGTACTCTAAAGTCAGAGAATAAGGTTGAGCAGTGAGTCTATTTCTGACTTCACGTAATTTCCCTCCCCATTCACGGAGTAAATTATAACCTGACGGAAAGGGTGTTCCAAAACCATCTGCATCGCAATCTTACATTCTATTAACTTCCTGCACGTTCTGAAGAAGGCCGTGGTTCTAAACTGAAGATTGAAAGACTTGGCTGAGGACTTCAATTCTCTTGACTATTAACGTGGATGAAATTGCCTTGTCGAAACAGCCTCTTTGATTCATTCCATCCATTTGGGCGCCTCGCATATCATCGTACATCGCCTCACACGTTAGGGACCATGAGCGGCTTTGAGTTTGAGGCAATAGAAGCTGAACATGGTGTGCAGTGAGGGCCTCAAATTGCGATTACCAAGCTTTGAAGTGGGCGCGTGCTTGTGCTCTCTCAGCACAATAAAATCATTGACGAACGGATCACGGCCATGGCGAATCAAGGTCAGGAAGTGCAGTGGAATATGCCGTCTAATTTAGGAAATGCTAAATTTAGATTTTATTTGATTTGCTTTAAGTATCAGTGGCTGGTATCGGCCTCTTTCACAAACGTATTTTAAAAGAAGGCCGGTATCGTCTTGATACCAATACCTGGTATCGTCCGATACCAGGTATACCGTTTAAGAGCATGTCATAATGAATAATGTCATGACTCATGCAGAATTATTTTTACACTCGCACTAAATTGAACTTCTGTTTCAACTGACGGTTTAAAGTAACATTGGAATTTGTCAGCACAGGGAGGCCAGACATGCTCTATATGTGGGTTTTACTTTTGTTTACTCCAAGCCTCTATGCGGTGGTGCAGCGAGAGCTAGTATTAGACCATCTCCAAAACACACACGCACACAAATGCTTGATGAAGGTATCGGCAACATGCCCACTCTGAGGAATAAACTCAATAAGAAGAACGTTTTGTATATTGGGATTCTCTGATGTTTCAATAAGGTTGTCAAAATGACCCCCCCCTCCACTCCCCCCCATCCAAATATGGTTGAATCCCACACCAGTTTAACAACAGATTTGCTCATATCATCAATAGCAAATTACAACGCAATGAAAAGCAGATAACGATGACATATTTCAAATCAAGGACAAATGCTCGATCGCACTGGGCTGCTGTAAATTCTTACTGGCTATTAATTTGGTTTATCTTTTTTCTTCAGGGTTGTTATAAAGTTGTGTTACAAGCCCACTGCGGTAAACATAAAGCAAACTCATTCGTTGTGCTTTAGTTTGCTTTTAAATGCCACCATCACACAAGTACTGTACCATTAATTGTATCCAAGCTGTAAAGTAAATTAGTGTTGGATGCTGGATGGTACAGAGGTCTACCGAGTGGTCACAGAACATATTTTATTGAGAACAGCAAGTGTAACCGCCTTGCGCATTAGCCCGGAGCCACACATTACACTGTAAACCACCGCCGTCAAACTCGAGGCCGAAGGGCCAGATAGGGCCTGCGACATCATTTTATGTGCCACGCGATGGTAAATCATGTGCGTGGACTTCCTATTTCTTGCAAATTGTTTTCACTTTTAACATCACCGAGATATGGCATAATGCAAATATATTTTTTTACCATGATCGTATTATACTGTATACTATATCTATTATGTAGTATTATAAGAGTCTTTCTTTAGAGGACCAACTAATTACCTGATAGGATGATGTTTGTCTCGTCTTTGCCAGCCAAATGTACTGCAGACTCATATTTACCGCACATGTTGTCAGGGCTCCTGTGGGACATATTCCATTAAAACCACAAATGTACCAGGGGACACCGTGTTCCCAGACAGCACCTCATTTTTATTTTTTTTTTCAGCCCTATGAAAAAAAAAAAATCAGCCAAATGTTCATTGCTTGCTGTGGTTTGCTGTGGTTTGGCTGGACTTACCAATTCATAAACATACTGCGCAGTCCATGTCTTTTTGGTCTGGTCTCAATGTCGTCATCCTCATCATCCCCTCGCCTATTCCGCCTCAGCTCGACGACTGACTGCCAAACAGTCTTTGGTTCAATTGCTGCTACGCCTTGGATGATCTTTGTCTCGATTTATTTAATTAAAAAAATATATATTTCCTATCGTGGACTGCAAGCTGCTCCCCCCCTTGGCGCATCAGGCTTTTGGTTACCATGCAGACATATGTGAGAGGAGTTAAAAAAAAATACAAACACTTGTCAGAAGAGATAAAGAGCATTTTCACATCTCTGCAAACAACCAGAGCAATTATATTGTGTCATTAATACCTGTCCTAGGATTGACCGGTGATCAGTCTAGGATTTATCGCGCCTCACGTCTTCAGTCAGCTGGCTCCAGCACACCCGCTGTCACAATGAGAATGAGCGGTGTCAAAAATACTTCTCTAAAGATCTTAATCCAAGCGGATTATATCGATTTGCCTTTTGATTCAACAGTTTGTCACATGGGATCAAGCAAAAACGAAGATAGATAATGCAGCTTGCTAACATACTGATTTAAAAACAGGGGTATGATGTCATGGTCTGGGAAAACATTTTGGCCAAAATTCCAAAAGGTATGTTTGGTACTGCCATAAAACGGCTCATAAGATAAAAAAAAAAAATGGCATATGAACAAGGATGTACAGACTTGATAACTACTGCAACAGTGAAATAATTTAAACACGAGAAGCTACAACGCTACATTGTTGAAAATTCAGTCAGTGGGTGGAATTATTAAATACATTAGGGCTTGAACGACCCTTTTTTTTTTTTTGGCCGATACCGATTCGGATATGTGGCAGAATAAAATGATAACTCATGAGGCATAAATAGTTTTTTTTAAATTAAAATTCATGCAGTTCAATCGCATGAAAATGAAAACAACAAATAAACAATTGAAGCCACACCCCCACACCCCCAAAAACATAATGTACCTTTAAATCATTAAAGTGGCCACCTTTGGCAGAGCTGAACACATACTTTCTGAAATGGAAATATTCTTCAGGAAATATGGCACTTGAAGGTTGCTTGGCTTTTACTCTTCTGTCTACTTTATCTCAAATTACTTGGATGGGATTTTAGTCTGGAGACTGTTATTTCGTATAATCCTAAAATTTATTTTTTTCACTCTTGGGTAACTTGACCTGGTTTCGTTTTTTTTTTTAACCTGTCTGTCAGTTCATCATTTAACTTGGTTCGTACCATTTCAAGTTATTCGTTTGACTTGAACGGCTCGATTTTCAAGTTAAAAAAAAAAATGGAATAGTTGTACTCCTCACACGAATGCGCCAAATTAACTGCTTGTCAAAATGGCAGACTTGGGTGACATTTGCATCGGGTATTTACTCCGACAGACAGACGCCACACATTAATTATTGCACGCACAGACTGACTTGTTTTGGCTCCCTTCCACCTTCACCACTGCAGTGTTTGAACATTGAGTTCACTTTTTTATGTAAGTCTGTGATACATCTCCGTCACTAGCTGCAAAAATTCGGAATAACCATTCAATCGCTTGTTTAAAGCGATTGAATGGTTATTCCGAACTTTTGTTTTCGTCTGACCTTTTATACCTTTGATATGTCGCCTCCACTCTCTCTTGCTACGTTTCCGATTTGATGTGATGCCTATTCATTTTTAACAATGGAACTCGGTCCCTCTACACGACCGAGCTGACAAACGTCATCCTCTCTCCAGCAGAACAAATGAAACGGCAGACGACCGCTCTGCGTTGCCAATGCTCCCTGCTTTGAAGCGAGGATGCATTATGCACGTCGCGTGCTCTTTAGGACAACAAATGGCGTCGCCAAGCACACGCCGCTCAGACCCTCGCGAGTGACGCAAATGTTCCTGACGTGAGAGCCAAAAAAAAAAAAAGACAACTTCATGTTTTCAAAATACGAATGTTTCCCTTTAATTGTTCACATCTGTAGCCTTTAAAAAAACGCTCACTTTAAAACTTTAGTCACTTTGCATGTTCTCCCCGGGCCTGCGTGGGTTTTCTCCGGGTACTCCGGTTTCCTTCCACATTCCAAAAATATGCATGGCAGGCTGATTGAACACTCTAAATTGTCCCTAGGTATGAGTGTGAGCGCAGATGGTTGTTCGTCTCCGTGTGCCCTGCGATTGGTTGACAACCGGTTCAGGGTGTCCCCCGCCTACTGCCCGAAGACGGCTTGGATGGACTCCAGAACCCCCCGCGACCCTTGTGAGGATAAAGCGTGTCGGAAAATGGATGGATGGAATGGATAAATATACGGAAAATAACACCGGCCAACATTTTTTTTTTTTTTTTTTATTGACCAATTTTGAAAATCAGTCATGCAAGTAAACTTTTCTAGGGAATTTTTTTAAAGATCTTTACTTATCTGCTCCCATTTTTTCCTTTTGTACATCCATTTTTAATAATAATAGTAATAATAATAATCATCATTTCATGAATTCAGGGTTAAGTTCAGCAACAGGAGGAATATCATTCTGAAACGTCATAGCTCCATATTACAACGCATGGTAAAATCCGATCCGTATGGAGCAAGTTTTTATAGCTTGAACTTAAATTGGGGTGAAAAATATATATATAAATAAATAAATATCTGGAAAAACCTGATTTGCTCATAAAAAAAAATATCTGGAAAAACCTGATGTGCTCAGAAAAAAAAAAAAAAAAAGTAAAAGCTTGGGTCACCTCCATACAGCAGAGACAATGCAGAAGTGCATTGCCGCAGTGCTCGGTAACAGCCCAATATTCTCCATTCATAGAAAGTGTGACTGGATGCCCTTGTTGAATAAAAGAGTCTCAAACTGCCTTCATCGTGGATGCATTTGTTTTTACCCCTGCCAGTGTGGGTCTCGGGTCACAATGCTTAGACGAAAGAGCGCATTTCCTGCATACCTCATCGTTGCCAGACCTCTGTCTTCTCCCTCCCATTTTTTTTTTTTATTGTAAGAGAGCCTCACTTGCTCGCCCTCTCCCCTCATCTCCCCTCCCTCACTGCTCCCATACTTCAGTCTCGCTCACTCACACACACACACACAGTCACATACACACACACGCACACTCGCTGAGGGGGATTCTCCGAGACGGGTGGAAGCTTCAATGTGATCGTCATTTCTCCGTCACCTTCGGCGCATTGAAGATCTGTCTTTATTTTTTGATACGTAAAATTGGATTCCCCCCCCGCTGCTCCTTTGATAGTTGCAACTTTGTGGACGTAAACGAAGAGAACTTGTGAGACTGATATAAAAATCAGCGCCTTTCACTCGGAGACACCTTGGGCTGAACATTGAGGGATTTGGGATTTTGTTTTGTTTGCTTTATGGTCCTCTAGACAACTGGATTTTTATTATTTTTTCCATTCACCTTTTGTTTCGCCTGACGGACATCCTGTAGAAGCTGCTTTTATGGAGTGTGAAATTTTGGACGCACGTGCCAAGTTTGGACGGAAAAAGTCAGACGAAAGCATGGCTGATGGAACCGCCGCGACGTGCTGAAGGCTTCTTTCCAAAAAAGATAACACAGGTACCGACTTGCATGGCCATTTAATTCCAGCTGCGAAGGGCAGACGGGGGGTGACTTGTAAAATGAGTCCGTGGGGCTTTTTTAATAGGATTACACATTCTAAGTAATGTCTTGAAGACTTTGGAGCAATTAGCAAAGACAAAATATATCGGCGGTGCAGTCAGCGCTGTCTGAGAGATAAGGATACATTTTCATATGACCCTCGACGACTCTAATCAATCACTGTCAGTCAGGATATCACCCAAATTATCTTGGGTGGCCGCTTTAATTGGGACTATCGTGTCATTATTCTTGCAATGTGAATTAATCGCTAAATCCTCAATCTCCAATTGATCGTAACAACTCGTGGTGTCAGAGTACCGTTTAAAAGCAGCCCTGGCGCAAGCTCGAAGCTATTTTCAGAGCTGGTTTTGGAAGCCTCATGAGTGTATGCTTTTTTTCCCCCCATCATGGCTGTTGTTCAAGGCACCAAAGTGCATGCAGTGATTCAATGTGTTGCGAAAAGTTGCTTGAGACCTTCTAAGCTAAAGAAATGGCGAATATTCAGTGGCCTGATTTCAACCCAATCGAGGATGCTTTTCAATTCTCCATCTACTACTGAGGCCCAAACACATTTCGTGACAAATAGGACCTTGAATCTTCTCATCGACTCCTTTACTTTCGGTTCTAGTTTCGACGGAGATGACCACCGCGTCCATGGAGCCCGTCGGAGTCCTGGTGGAAAGGAGCACCAATGCCACCGAGCCCCCTCAGAGCTCTCACGAGGACCCGGCCGCCACTTTCACCATTGGCACTATTCTCTCCATCATGTTTCTTGTGGGAGTCTTGGGAAACATCTACACCCTCGTGGTGATGTGCCATTCCATGCGCAACGCGGCGTCAATGTACATTTATATCATCAACCTGGCGTTGGCAGATCTTCTTTATCTGCTCACCATCCCGTTCGTGGTGTGCACTCACTTCCTCAAGCGGTGGTACTTCGGGGACGTCGGCTGTCGGATTCTTATTAGCATGGACTTTCTGACCATGCACGCCAGTATCTTCACGTTGACCATCATGAGCACGGAGCGCTACTTTGCAGTGCTCAAGCCACTGGATACGGTGAAGCGGTCCAAAAAGTATCGAAAAGCCATCGCGATGCTCGTTTGGGCCGCTTCTCTGATCCTCACGTTACCGATGATCGTGAGCATTCAGCTCATGAAGGTGGGCAACAAGGCTATGTGTCTTCCCACCTTGTCATCGCTGTCCTATAAGATTTACATCACCTTCCTTTTTTGCACGAGCATCGTAGCCCCGGGATTGATCATTGGCTACCTCTACATCCAGCTTGCTCGGACTTACTGGGTTTCACAGACGGTGACCTTCAAAACGACCAATAAGCTTCCGAATCTGAAGGTCAGTAGATCTCTCTCTCTTTCTCTTTCTTACAGTTTTTCGTTATTTTTAAATCTTCCACACTGTTTGGTTTGGTTTTATGAATCAGAATTTAGGCCACAGCGACTCAGGCATTTAAAATAAAACAGAGACCGAAATTCACGGCATCCTTTTGCCAAATTTTTACGAGAATAGACTCTTGAGCAAATCAATGTTTTATTAGGTTTGCTTTGCATAAAAGGTTTGCAGTGTTAAAACTACGAAAACGATTTGAACGAAAGCCCACCTCAATAGTGCCAGCTAGAATCTCTGATCAAAGCCACACCCCTCGCCAACGTGCACGAGGCGTGCACTGTACGTCTCGTGCACTGTCAAACAAGTCGACGTTAGCTACGGTTATTCTTGAGCAAATCAATGTTTTATTAGGTTTGCTTTGAAAATGATGAAACTACGAAAATGATTTGAACGTAGCTCACCTCAATCGTGCCAGCTAGAATCTCTGACCAAAGCCACACCCCTCGCCAACGTGCACGACACTGTACGTCTCGTGCACTGTAAAACAAGTCGACGTTAGCTACGGTTACGATAACACAAAGGACTATTTTCAAATTCGACTAATGTACAACCAGGTCACTTTTCAAAATATTTCCCACCTGTTATACGAGCAGTGATTCATTCACAGGTACAACAAGCACCCGTTTTCCCTATTTCCATTCTTTATCACATTGAACGTGAAATGATCCGTTTGCTCCCCACCTTTGCTCTTTCTCACAAACACACTGGCAACAGGCGTCACTGTCATTGGACTGCTATCAAACGCAGGCGTGATAAGAGCACACAAAAAGAGCCCATATGGCACGTAGCAGGAAGCCATCTGAGTGGCCATGATGAGGCATTCAGCTTCATAATCACAATCCAGAAATAGGAAAACCGTCACGGCATTGGACAAATTGCGGAGATGCTGTAAACATCCACGCTAGAATAATTAAGATGGCACACCCATCATGACTTTGGCCTATAAAAACAAACAATTGGATTTCCAAGGCACTGTAACTACAAAAAAGGAATGTGTAGCATTGTCAAACAATATATTATTATTATAATGGTTCACCGGAAATATGCTAATATTTCATCTTGCGCAGGTTGTCGTTACCTCAGAATGAAAAGAAAGGCACAGCGATGGGATTTTTTTTGTTTTGCATTCATCTTAAAATATTCTATTCGTCAGGGGAGCCTGATTGCACCGCACAACTAAATTTTGGAGGGGGCGTGGGGCATTGCCTGCCTCCCATGACCACGCCCACAAAACAGGTGATCCACGATGGTCATGACCTGAGCCCTTAGGAACTGTGATGTCATTTTCAGTCGACAATAAGTGGTCGTACAAAGCAAAACGCTCACTTCTTGAGATGGATAAAAATGGGCGGATTTTTCTACTTAAGTGATTTTTCCACCAGCGCAATATTAATCAGAGAATGCAGCACCGTTTTGACGAATGGGGGCGCATGGAACATAATGTCAAGAAAACTTCTTGAGGACTTGACTCATTGACAAATGTAATTTAGACGATTAGTGATGCCTCTAAAAATCCTTTCAGCCATGATGCATCCGCTCAAATTAAAAATAAATAAAATTATTCTTTGAACGCGTGATCCAAATGGCCAGGCAATGGCTCTGGCTCACGCTTTATACTGCCAAAATGTTATGGTGCCCATCTGGCACTCTCTCTTCAAAACAGGAAAGCATGCAGGTGGAGGAGATTGATTGACCAGTGCAGTGACAAAGAGGGTGACGTTCGATCTAGAATATTTGAGCGTGCGTAATTCATAATTGTGTTGCTTCCCAAAAAAAAAAAAATAAGCTGCTGTCATTCCTTTGCTATCAGTGATGTATTCCTTTTTTTTCTTCTTATCTCCCTAAAGGTTCTTTACCTGATTTTCACCATTGTGCTCCTTTTTTGGGCATGTTTCTTGCCTTTTTGGATATGGCAACTCCTGGGTCAGTACCATCCGACACTGCCCCTGTCCTCCACAGCCAAGCGCAACATCAATTACCTGACGACATGTCTGACGTACTCCAACAGCTGCATCAACCCATTCCTATACACACTGCTCACCAAGAACTACAAAGAGTATTTGAGGAAGCACAACCGGTCCTGGTCAGCTGGAAGTTTTTTTGACAGGAGGGGCCGTGTGCAGCGCTCGCCACGCAGATCGCCCTCCGCGAGCAGTCAGCAGTGTACCGAGAGTTTCATGCTCACGCACACAGCGTCCTTGCGTACCCACAACAGCAGCTTGTGAGGTAGGCATGTGCTGTTTTTTTTTTTTTTTTTGACATACAAATCGTTTGCTCCTTCAGATATTGGAATTTATCATTTCTAAATCACTGTGACAGTAATTTAACTTATTATAAGAGCCTAACGTTTCGGTAATCGAGTGAATGTGTCTCCATTTATTCAAAGGCAGACTGTAGACTTTTTTTTTTCCTTCCTTGATTTGTCTGAATTTATGCATGTGTCACTGTGGGTATTTTATGAAGGCCCCCGTCAGAGGCATAATTCAGGATTACCACTCATGTAAACAACTGAGACACTTTTTATGCTAATTTTAGATATCCTTCGCCAATGTTTCCTGCAGAGGAAACCGGAGAAAGGTATTGTAGTTTTTAACGGAGGGGAATGCGCACGGACGTAGGCATCCATTTCCTATAGCGATTGTGCTCATTAACTTCAAGGGGTGACCTTGAGCTTATCCCGGCTCGCTTTGAGCGAGTGGCACGGTTACATCCTGGAAGTGGTCACCAGCCAAAAGCAGGACGCGCAAACATATGTACTTTCAAGCTCACATTTACACCGAAGGACAATTTAGAATCTGCACTCAACCTAACATGAAAGCTTTTGGATACCTGGAGAAAAATGCACGCAAGGGATATGCCAGGGGTGAGGTTTGAAATGTATATTGTTTGCTAAATAAAACCATTTGGTTCTGGTTCTAGAATATATATCCATCATTCTATGTTGTAAGTGAACGGTCTGGTTGTAAATGAACGGTTTTTCTAGAGCGCTCTTATCTCCAGCTCACCAAACCGAAGTGCCATGTTACATGTGGACGGGTCACACTAATCAGTTCAACTCAGAGTCGGTTAGAAAACAAAGCGTGGCGGCCATGTCAGAGTTTCCACTGCTAAGCTAACTTGCGCTTGAACATGACGGGCAGCAGGTACGAGTCAATCCGCCCATCCCGAGCAGCTCGTGGCGGGAAATAAGATCGACACCTAACGAGCGGTGCCGTCCACTAAAGGCGGACGAGTAGCTAAGCAAGCGGACTGAGCGACAAGCGGGAACGCGCAAAGATGGAGGAGCAATTACGGATCGAGAAACTATCATGGAATGCATACTGTGAACAAAGATTTGGGGATGGCATCAGTTCTTCTTTCAAAGGAAAGTAGACATTGTGAAATGATACAATGACAAAGGGAAAATGCGTCAAAGGCAGAAATGGATTTCCTTGTGTGAACTTCCAAGCCCGGCAATGAAAACATTGACTCATTATCAATGCATGATGCATAAATTCATAGCAGACTCATAAACTATATCCTATAAAAGCAGAGTGTCGCACTGACATTTTATTCATTATTCATCATTCATGTTCTTATCAACAAGAAGAAACGGTCTCTCGGGTAACACTGGCACCCTTTTGAAAAAAAATACGGTGGGCAATCAATTGCCTGTTAGAGAGTCGGTCAATTATAATTAGTCAGTGGTCCCTTTTTTTCAAAATGATTAGGACCTCAGCATTTTGTGGCTCTGCATGAGTTTCCTTTCATGGTTTTATTGCGGGTATCAAGAGTGCGGCACTTTTAGTGCTCAATTCGCAGGCGGACCATTAAAAGCTCCTCGATAAAGTAGCGCAGGTTAAACACATGAATCCACACGGTGACGGATCCCTGGCTGCCAATTGCGAAGTGGCTCTAACTCATAATGGCGCTTGATAGGATCATGATTACAGTAACAAAAGGCAGGAAAAGGGCCAGTGGACGCAGGAAATGGCAGGAAATAAAGCTTTCGCGGCAGCCTGCTTGATAGTTTGGACTTCACGTTGACTGTTTAATATTCACTGCAGCTTAAGAGTAATGGCCTTTTTTTCGCACTCGCTCAATTATTTCATGCTCCGTATACGTACAAAGGATGAACGGTCCCTCTCGAGTGAGCAAGATTAGCATGAAGAGGCGATGTTAATATGAACAATAATTGAGACAATTATTATCAGTTTAGAACATGACCGAAATGCTATCTCGGCAACAATAGCAACTCCATCCATATTTGGGGGGGGGGGGGGGGGGGGGGGGGGGGGGCGACCTCCACACAGTGAGAAATTAGACATGAAAACAGGTTGCACAAAGGTGATGCTATATTGCTCCACTTTTTCAAATTCTCAAAATGGTATCACCACAAATCTAACGTGGAACATTAAATTCGATTTCCAAATGTACACCATGTGCTGCATCCATACCATACGCCAATGAAACGCCTCGGAGTATATAACAGCATGGACCAAGTATCCCCGTAAATATCTCATAATACGTCCAATGGGGAAAAAAAAAGGGTTTTGAGCTCTTGGCTTTACAAGATAAAATGACGGTGCAAATCTCTTCAGAACTTTTTTTTAACTATTCTGCCGAGAATCTAAATGGCTTTAGGCAAAGTAGCTGGTGTTTCTGGGTACCTCGGACAGATTTTGAAACTCCCACCGGGGGGACTAAGAAAATGGTGCAAAACTGCTTGGTAGCAATGCCGGGAAAGAGAATGATGTAAAAAGAACGGGGGGTTGCAAAAAATGGTGGTGGTGCCTTGAGATATCAGTGTCAAAAAAAAAAAGAAGTCATTTTTATGCTGCACTTTAATGACGATGGTGGCATCCTTGATCGACAGAATCCAGCATTCATAATAGTTTAATCATGGAAATGCTTTCTGGAGGACAACACATTTCAATGGAAGGGTATTCTGGAATGTTTCAGTGTGAATAGTCGTCAGCGAACCCTTTTACTGAATTTCTGACCTCCTCCATCACGAGTCATCACCTGCCGGCGGAACATGTGAGATGAGCTGTGAAGATTGTCCGAGCGGTGCTGTCCGTCGCTCATGCTGACTGATATGTGCAATTGCAGAGGCATCATTTTATTTGATTTTTTTTTCACGCGTTGAGGTGACCGGGGATGAATAGTGACCTTTAAAAATGAATAATATCGCTTTTAAAGAAACGTTTCCTCCCATGAGAGGCAGCATTTTCCATTCTCACTCTTCCTCACTCCATTTGACAGACTTGTACTCAAGGATCACGGAAGGCTGTTAGAACAGTCTTTGAAACGAAATGTAATCTTCTATTAGATTTTTTTTTTAAATTATTTGCAATATTTTATACGTAAGTAAATATTATGTGACAGGATTTGAAGGCAATAAAAGGAGAAAATTGCGATTAATTGTGCAAAATTGTGTGATTAACTTGGTTTTTAAAAAATCGAATTGCTTGACATTGCGACATATTATATTCACACTTTAAAATATGGATACATACAGGCAACAATATACAGTACAGTGATTTTATTTTTTTTTTTTGCCCATTTCATATTCCGAAAATATCATAATGATAGCCCCCAATATTATGAAACCATTTTTAACTAAAAACCACGTGCGATCCCTTCACAGGAAACCAACCACAAAAGCGCGTGTAAGTTTCCGTCATATCCTCGGGGCAAATGGTTTGCACATGAATATCATCCATCACTATAAATCACAAGGCAGCCACATTTGTGTTTGCATCTGTTTGCTGAGAGATGCTGACTCTCTGACCTAATCTCCGAGCCGGTAAATCAAAGTCAACTACCAGCACCATCAATAAAAAGCTTCTCTCAACAATAGAGCCCACCCGCCCTTTGAGTCTTTTCTCAAACATGCTCACAATGTAACAACCAGAAATGTCAATCAATTATTTTTTTTTCCGAATGAGAATAAGTTGTTTCGAAAACGGGTAAATAGGGTCAGGCTTGAAAAAGAGAAGGAAATCAAAATACTGTCAAGAAATGTGTTTTCCCTCACGTGAATCTATTTGCAAATGAACTTGTCGCCGTGTGTAAAATACTGTGCCGTATGGGCGTCGAGTTATTCATCACCACTGCAAACTACAATCACAATAGCAGATACAGCCTGTGGAGTGGAACATATTAAAATATGCATTAAAAAGGGATACGAGTACTTTTGAGCCACTTGAAAGGTTGAGTTTAAATCGGCTTCGGTTGGCAATCGTGATCACGGTATTGTAGTCATGTTGACAAAATCAGGTGAAGTAAGTTATTGCATCTCTTAGTAAAAAATAGAACAAGTGCTTTATTTTTTTTCCACCTCCGGGATATTTTTGACGCTGGATGGATGCGGAAAGCTTGTGTGAACAATGAGCCACTCTCATTCTGTCTTTCTCCTCTTTGACATGAAGAGATTTCAAAAGGCCACGAGTGATCGATGGAGCCTGAGCGCAACTCGAGGCCGTACGGCACACCGAGTGTCGAACTTTTCGACCTCGCAAAACACATACTCCAACCGACCGCGACGTAAGGCATGGAGTCTGAAAGCCAAGACATTTGACATTGAAGTGGTGAGGACTGTAAAACAAGAAGAGCGCCCAATTTGGCATTCTTGAAACAAATCCTTTACTACGGTTCTCACAGATCATTTTGTATTGGGTGACCAGTCTGGCCACATAATTAATTAGCGCGCTAAATCTATTAATACAAACAGAAAGCCCTCACGGGACAAGTTATTCATTTGTATCCATTCCAACTCATCCCCCCTCACGTGAATCAAAAATCCCAAATGTATTTCGGCTAAAATCTCACTGGCTCCCCATTATAAACTATGATTTTTTTTATGTATTTATTTTTAACATAATGAGCCAAAATCAAACCAACGTGTAATTAATATAATATGTCATGTGATAACTAATAAAAATAAAGCTAGCTCAATGAAGACAAGCCTAAGTTGTTGTTTCTGGCAAAGATAATGGGAAAAAAAAAAAAAAAACATTCCAAAGGGCAGCCAGCACAAAGCGGCTCCCAAAATGCTTTTACCTTTAAAGAAGCAATTTTCTTCTCTTAATTTGTAATTGAAAGCACAGCAGGTCTCTGGACCTGCTGTGGCTGCACAGCCTTTTCAATGCCCAGACCCTCCCAAGATAACGTTATTATGTCGTCAGCTTACACAATCAATTCGCTGACAATGTCGATTCATGTAAATCCTGACATCAACACCC